GTTGGAAGCCCTCTTGGTTAACTGTGCGTTGAACTTCTGACACTAAACGTTGTGTGCCATTTGTGAAATATAGAAACTTCTTGTGAAATTTGACTGTACACAGTAATGGGTGAATACAAATGGGAAATAACTCAGAAAATGCTATTATTATGGTCAGTTGAATTTATGAAATGCTTGTTTACAGATAGTATATAGCTTATTGTAATAGTCTGACGTACTACATGAAGCAAATGTACATTGTAATGGCAGATTAACTTTCAATCTGTTTACTTGATTATGTATTCATTTCAGCTCATATGTTTAATTTAATTTTTCTTTTTTTTTCTTTTTTTTTTTTTTTTAAACAGGTATTTGAAATGTCTACCTCGCTCTGAATGACCTATGCAAAGACAGACCTGCTAACTTTTTGGCATTTTGGTTTTCTCTACCTTCCTCCAAAAGGTGCTCTACACAATTTTTGGGGAAGGAGAAAGATTGATTCACTCATTCTGTCACTTGTAGCTACCACTGGTTAAACTTACAATCACTTCATCTGTCTACCCCAAGGACAAACACACAACATTATTCCACTGTGAATGAGATTGGGCAATGAAAAAAGGGGAGATTCTTTTTTTGTTTTGCATTTATTTATCAAATTTCATTTTGTTTGGATATTGACATAAGTATTTTTTTTCTTGATTTCTGAGCGATCGTATGTTTTTGTTTTTTTTCATAAATATATATGTATATGGAGCACATAGCTCAAAGGACGAACAGAAAGAAAGTGAAATTAAATGCTTTGAGATTAATATGGGTGATTGGGCAGGATTTGGGGACCCGTCACCCCTCAACAGATTTAACTGGTGCTACGCTTACAAGATCGTGCCTCTGTAAACTGGTGCTGTTAAGTTGCGGTGCTCTTTGAACAGTACACACTGGGACTTTGGATCCATTGTGTAATATTATACGTGCTTAATTTATTAATGATTCCTGTCCCTATGTAACCAAAGTACATTTTGTTCTGTTCCTAGTACATTAACAGATTTTTTTGGTCTGCTGATAGAGTTGAACTATCCTCCTCATTTTTGTTTTTGTCAATTTTTGGAAGATGTTATGGCAGCTAATTTTGTTTGTATGTATGTGTGGGGCAAGAAGAACTGTTTCAATGCAGGTTATTAAGGCATAGTAGTGGTTAAATATGGTGGTATGAGTTTCCTATCTACAATGATGTTACACTATGTAAATGATCTGGCCCAGCAAGGACTTTTTTAAGAATTTATATTTTTCTTTTCAAATCTAACTTATTCCTTAATGTTTTCTTTTTTTTTTGGTGTGATTTTTGCATAGACTGATTTCTTTAAACTTTAATGCATATCTCGGCATTTGTAAATGTATGAAAATGTATATACTAAATTTCTGTATAGGTGCATATATTTATATGTATATAGACTTGCACATATATAAATATATTTTATGCTGTCCTGAAAATATAAGCTCCTCTGAGAAGCCACAAAATGGGATTAAAACAAGCCTAATTTCCTGCAGGTTCCCTGGGTGGTTACAGCCCGCATTGAGTTTTTATACAAATTTTGCCTGTCTGGGAATTCCATAACTTTCATGATATTGCTTACTTTAACACTGAAAGTGCCAGGGGCTGTGGCAGCACAGCATTTTGCCAAGCCCTGCTTCCCATGTTTGCATTCATGTGGTCAAGGTGTCGGAATTATATGCAACATCACAGAAGACAAGTTGCTAAATGTCATGCCCATGCCCAGCACTTACAACCAACAGCAAATGTGTGTTTTGCTTTTTGTCTCTTTCCTTCTCTTCCACATCTGCTGGTAACGCTAGAGAAGTTGATCATTTGTATCGTGCTGCTGCTTTTTCTGACTGTGAAATGTAGAGATGTTGCTTGAAATTTGAAACCCGGTAACCTTTGTCGGCACCCAAATTGAACTGCCAATATACCTTCTTTCAGTTTCCAGTGGAAGTGAAATGCATCAGAATTAATGCGGAATGACCCTCCAATCCCCAGATTATTCAATGGAACCCGATTATCATATCTGCAACATTCGTACTTGAAGTGTTGTTGCATTGACTAATTTGGGACTTGGAATGTTTTTGCACTGCTTCATGCATCCCCCACAATGTGCAGCTGTTATCACAAGATGGTGTTAAATCTCCCCATATTACCCATAATGTTCACAGTGAGGTGGGTCATTCTTTAACTACTCTCATTCCTTGTAAATCCTTGACTTCTGATCAGAACAATCGCACTTTACAATGTGTGAGTAACTTTTAAGCTAACTACATTTCTTCATTCCAATAATGTAGTCTGTTCCAAGCTCCTTGGATTCGTACTATGTGTTTGCCTTAATAACCTGCACAGAGCAACAGTTAGATCTTTCCGATGGCTTTGAAAGAGTGGATTTAATAAAAAAAAAAAAAATAGAAAATCTATCTATATATAAATATATGGGTGCTTGGCAGTCTGTGTAATAAAATTCATTTTGGTGTAAATGTTTTCCTCTTATTTTTCAGTTTTGCATTAGTGGGAAATATTGCGTTAAACAGGCATTTTGTGTTAATTACCCATTCAAAATCCTTAGTAATTATTTTCATATTGAGTTTATGCTTTGTTAAAAAAAAACAATATATACAAAAAGTGGCAACCACCTTCCCTTTTATGCCATGTTTTCCCTATTACTGTACTTTCACTTTTGTAAAACCCTGCTTTGGATTACATTTTCATATATGTTGCACATAGCTCTCTAGAACCATTAAAAAAAGAAACCTTTTTAAAATCAGATTGTCATACAGGATTAGTTTTTATCTTTTTTTGTAGAGAAGTCTGTATAGAAAACCCATTTTAAATACAAATCTGGCCTGTATTTGACTGAACTGTGTAATATAAAAAAAATAAAGATGTTCTAAATTGGCAATACAATTCCTGATGCCTGATTTTGTTTAGATAGGTTCAACTTGTTTGATATGTTGATGAATTTATTTGAAAAGAATTGAAGTCTCTAAAACTGCTGAATCTGACTTCGTTGTTAATAAACTTTTATGAACTGTGCTGCGTCTAGTCTACTTTACTATTAACGTATTAACAGTTATTATTTATACAATGCCAATCTACTCCGCAGCGCATTACAATTATGTAATACTTGCTTTCTACCTATAAAAGGGACCAGGTCACTTGAAAATTAAACTCCTGCTAAATTTTTTAAAATAGAGATTTCATGCAGACAATATTAACGCACACCTGACAATCTTGTGTATGTAGCATTTTGTGAACACGCCACTGCCCAAATACAGGGGGGAAAAACAAACCAAGAAGCAAAACACCAGTATGTACAAAGGTGTGGAATTTTAAAACTAATCTACTTTTGCAAGGGACTAAAGTGGGAGCCCAATCTACTTGTCCTGACACAAAATTTCAATTAAGAGTGAGGCCACAGCCAAACGCCATGGACAGGCTATTTGCTGAACTAACAAAATGTCTCAAAATAAATCTGAAAGGAGTAATGGGGACAAAAATGGCTAATGTGGAAAAACACTCTGCCTCAGTGTTGCCATTTGGATTTATTTTGCTAAAGTTTTGTCTTGCGCATTACCATGAGTGTTCTACCTTCTTATCACCACAATTTTCATGGTGTCATGTGACTGTGCAGTGTATGCTAGTTCTGTGATGTACTTGTGGAGAGTACAAACTACTTGGTGCAAGTGCGGTGTGTGCCGACCGTATGCTGCGTGTAGGGGTGTGCACGCTGGCTGTATATTGTGATACACATGACCTTCACGTAAACAAATGGTTGCACACCGCGCAAAGATTACCTGCAGCTGATGTACGTTCTCTGCCTTTTACAGCGTGTTGGTTGCTGGGATGTCACACTGAATCCTGCAGGCCATTAGTTCTAAACATTGTGAGGAGGAGGAGGAGGAGGCTGCAATCGCTCTTCACACTTAACTGCAAACTGCATCACCAGTCAGTGTCGTCCCGGTATTCCTGCAAGAGATACCGTCCCTGCCCCGCACCACCACTACCCCCCCCCCTCCCCCTCCCTTCCTCAAGGCAATTGCAGCCAGACATAAAGGATTAAAATAAGTGTGTGTGTGTGTGTATATGTGTATGTATGCGTTCGGAATTTATCTAATACGTAATGGAATGTAGAAGGAGAAGCAAAGTTGGTTGAGGTGTGCTGAAACCAACATACAAGGAGGACTGTAAAAGAGGATTCAAAGAAAAACACACTTTATTGCAAGTTTATACAGCTTGTGTACTGAAAGCTTGTAAGGAGTTTTACTCTGAGGTATATATGTAACTGAGCTGAGGATTACCTGTGGCCACATCACTTAGTGATGTAGACTGGGGTGTAAGAGCTTGAAGCTGCTGACGCAGCGCTTTTGCAAAAAAGAGATCTGCGAAAGAAGGCATGATGTAGCTTACCTTAATGGAAGGATTAGACGTGAAGTAATGGATTAGTACTGATAGTGTGTGGCTGACCTTGGATATGTAAAAAAAACTGAGTGACCGCATAGGAGGTATAAATAAGATGCTTGATTTGTAGGTTTAGAGGAAGAGGCAAAAATTACAATAGTTTAACTGCAAGAGTCATGAATCAAACAAACGCTACTTGTGACATGGTACAATATACAAAGCCCTAGCGTGAGTGAGAGAGTAGTCGTGAAACTGCGTGAAGCGTGTGTAACTGTATGAGGTGTAATTGTGTGCTCAGTCCAAGAGTAGCGCATGGAATGGTGGTATCCTGGATGGTACGTAGTGGGTTATAGGGGGTGCCTGAAAAAAGACTTTGAACTGCGTGAAAGAGTCAGCGGCTGTGTTGTGGATGCCAGGAATGTAAAGGCAGACTAAAGAGCTGAGAGGTTGCTGCCAGCCAAGTCAGCCTGTAAATCAGCCACAAAAATGGTTAGTGCGGATGGCCACCAGAATGTAGGCCAGGTGCCATAGTGAAGGGTGAATAAGTAGTAGATTAAAGGCGTTGGATAAGTCCGTATTGCTCAACCAAGCCTTACTATTTACTGAAGTGATAGCTTGTATGGCATGGTCGATATTCGTAGTCCAGTGAGAACTTCATAGCGGGAATGAGGGAGTTTGATGCTGGGAATGGATGTAGAGTGCGGTGTGGAAGAAGTCTATGATCGGTATTAAGGGTATAGTGAATGGCTACCTCGATAGGGTTCGCCAAGATGAGAAGTATGAAGACCGGAAGGAGGCGATCGTGAAACCAGCGTATAACTGTTGTGGACAGAAGGTGGTCCACCGTAAGAGGGTCAATGGGTGCAGATAATAGGTTAGGGCATATGAGTGTACCTGTGGGAATGGCGATAAGGCCTGGGTGAACCCCTGTGAGAAACCCGGCACCAGACTCTCCCAGATGCCTAGCTGGGTGTAAATGCAGATAGTATTCCAGGATCTCAATGTTAACCTAGTTGGGCATATCTTAGGTGACAGACTGTCTGCGTATGTGGATTAGGTGTGGGTTCTGGAGCAGATGTGAAAAATCCTGCATGTCGTGAAATAGAATATCCCCGTATCAAAGAATAGTGCACCTGAGCCTTCCCCAGAAATGGTCAGCCCAGCTTGTCCCTCTGGCCACCTCCCTGACCTGGTGAGACGTGGAAGTGGCTGACTCTATGCGAGAGGCAATGATAAACAGAGGAATGGAAAGCTTTAAGTCGTGGTCTGGCTGTTTAGGACTATTGAAATGTAACCTTAGCCTTCTGAAGTTAAGTAGTGATGTTAGTTTAACATCCCTTCCATCGAGAATTACCTTCTCCATGGAAATTGGAACAGAGTGAGCTGGTGAGACGGATGGAGTAGTGATAGTGGGTGGTGGGGGACGGGGAGGGAAATGAGGGGTAATCCAGACTGAATGACCGAGATCGCCTGGTGTGGCTATAGCCGATTCCATTTATCAACCTGTTAATCATTTGGAGGCTGGCCAGGATAGCGACCGGGGTCTCCTGATTGGAATCTGAGGAGAAAGCTGACGGCGCTTGTGAACTAGAGCCAGGCCTGGGAACGTTGGTCTGAGCCGTCGCGAGCCTGTGTAGTTCTGCCTTAGTGGCTGGGGAGGGGATACCCCTGTGTCTGAGCTCTGCTGATATTTTTGGAATGTACCAGAATCCCAGTTAACTGAGGGTAGAAGGGGTGAGGGATTCCTTTGGAGACCCAAGCCAGACTGGCATGCTGGGTATTCCGTCCAATAGCAGACTGATTATTGGGATGGATACTTGTGACATTCTGAAAAAGAAATAATGATTTGGATAAGTAATGTGGATGAGACCTTCGGAGAACTGGCCTGCTAGCTAGTGCTGAGGCGAAGAATTTACCTAGAACCAAGTGACTGGTGAGGCCCTGCTAGTGCCAAGTGGTGGAGAGAATCTTTACCTATGATTTGGGCCGAGGGAATTTTGTGGCCACTAGAACGTGGTGGCAGGATGTCGGCCTCTCAGTGACTGTAAGAGATTAAAAACATGTGGCCGTCACTTGGGAGGCCCTAACTGTAGCCCTAAAGAAGGGCGAGCGAGGTGGCTAACTATGATTTGGTCGTGGGGCTGAAACCTCCATGTATGAGGTGGGGTGTAGACCTCGCGGGACTGTAGTATTACTTAGGATAGCTGCCAGTTCTCTAGCCTGATGGGGCTTGTCTCTTAGAATGGTGTGATATAACGTATCTAGATACTTAAACCTTGAGTGTCCTCTTTCTTTGATGTGCAGGAAGAGTACCATATATTTTTGCTTCTGCAGGGAACGGGCCCAGTCCAGGAAAACTTAGGGAAAAAGATGCTAGTGGGCCTGAGGCTTGCCGCTGGTATAATGAGTGTAAAAATGTTGAACGTATGGGTAGGTGTGTATCAGAGATACCGTAACGTAAGAACTCGGGTAAGCTGAGGGACCTGAACGTTGGTCCGTCAATTAGAGACAAGCCCCTGGGGTCCCACAATGTGAATTTTATTTGAATGATACGAAGGTGAATTGAGGCCTTAAGGAGAAACTTAATCGTAGTGAGTAAGATTACCAATACCTGATACTGCAAAGCAGGGAACCAGGTAGCCTGTAGGTTGTCGATGGCGTATGACTTGGCGAGCTGTGGTTATGACACAGGTCTAAGTAATGATATGTAGAAATGAATAACAAAACATGTACCGTTAAATATAGTAGTAATACGGTGGATTATGAGATTGTTGTTGACATTTGTGAGGAATTTTAGACCAGGTACGTCTCAAAGTTAAGAACCCACTATGAGAGGTGGGGGGCTGTATGAGGCCTCAAGGGGAAACGTAAAATGGTAAACCTTACCTGTTACCGAAATGCGGGATACTGGGTACCTCAATTGGAGCTTTGTTTGAAGAAAAGTATAAGTAGTAGCAAGGTGGTGTAGGTTTGTGTGATTGATGTTTACTCGCTGTGAGGAATCTCAGATCTGGCCCATTTGAAGTTTAGAACCCACTTTGGGAGGTGGGGGGCTGTATGAGGCCTCAAGGGAGAACGTAAAATGGTAAACCACCTTACCTGTTACAGAAATGCGGGATACTGGGTACCTCTTCTTGGAGCTTTGTTGGAAGAAAAATATAAGTAGTAAAACCCAAAAAACATATGCAGTCTAAGTGTAAGGAACCAGTATATAAGGACTTTTAAGGAACGGAGGTTTTAAATCGTGCTAATGGTCTGTAAAGCGTCTGATGAAAAAGGACCGTAAGGCTTAACCTATGAGCGGAGAGACCTTAGTTGCGTAGAAGACTAATACATGAGGGAAAGTAGAATAGCCTAAGTCCCGGCAGGGTATGATAATGCCTGGAGGTGTGTTTTTTTAAACGTAACTGATAAGAGAAAAGTGTTCAAACTGTGCTTTAAGAAGATTTACCCTGTAAAAGATAGGAGTCCCATAATTATGTGACCATGGATGGGAAAATTAGAAACACATTATTTAACCAGTGGTGACTTTAAGAGCTTAGTTACGTGAAAGCAAAGTATGTACAATTACAGTAGATTTAAGAATTTAAACATTGTAGCCTCTTGCTTTCGGTAAACGAATGAACAGGAGAACTGTAATGAGAAAGAACTCCTGTGTTCGGTTAAATGGAGCATACAAACAAATTTTAAACGAAAGCCAATGTATATGTGTTCGGCTGAACGACCGAACGGATGAAAATAGTTGAACGTAAGTTTGTTTAGTGCGGTTGGTAGTTAGTTTATACGAAAATGTAAGTGACAGGAGTGTGTACTCTGCGGCCGGCTGTTAGCTGCACGAACGCAGAAGTACATGAACGGAGTAAGAGCATGAATGGGTAAGTAATGAAGGGACTCTATCCCTGCGTTTTTAGGCCCAAACGTGGGAAATAGCCGAACGACATTTCCCACGTTTATGCTTGCGTGGACGTGCCGGTCTCATGACCAGAAGCCGGTGGACGGGCACGGAAGACTGAGGCCGGAGCTGCTGGCGACGGACTGCTTGAGACAGGACTTGGCGGGAATGACGAACTGGAAGTGCAGGTAACTGTGGAGACAAACAGCTTGCACGACAAAGGTAAGTAGGGGGATAGGGTTTATATAGGATCATAACTCCTCCCACAAATTCAGACCAAATGGCCTTCCAACATATATCTTCCTGGCCTGGAGCTGCATCATGTCCTGGGTGTCAGCCAGTAGAACTTCCACATAGCTGATAAATATTACTAGTGAACACAAAAGCAGCAGATCTCTGGTTGGCATTCTATGCAAACTCTCCTCTACTTCCCTAGACTTTTGTGATTGAACAAGACAATATGACTATAATGAAAATAACCATGAGCTGGGTAAACCGCACATAAATATAGTTAAAACCAAAAGAGACAGCAATATTCGTACAATATCAATGAAATATTATAGGAAGTCCAAGAGTAAGTCCACAATGTATATTTAAAGATTAAAACCACTCACAAAAGGAATATGAAAAAAAGGCAAAATCGGCTCAATAGCCTACAATGCAACCTGCTGTAGATCAAGCATGTCAAGCCGTGAATTTGACATGTTAAGGCAAAGTAGGCACCTGTGCATGCTCCACACTAGCTCCCAAAGGTAGGGAGCAAAAAATAAAATGGTTTATGAGTGTGTGAAAGAATGTGTAAATGTGTGTGTTGGTCAGTGTTGCGATGGCCGTGGCTGGACAGTGGAGGACCTGGAGGTGCACGGAGGCAATCAATGCCACATCACATTCAGACTTGACATCAACGTGCTCCACCTTCACAGGGTTTCAAGGAGTAGCGGGAGGATCTACTTTGGCACACGGTGCGGATGGTGCATTTGGGGGTATACCAGAGGCTGCATTCCGGAGTCGCATACTGGCAGGGACAATGTGAGTGGAGTCTGCTTGTTGGCTTATATTGTTGTTGTTTTTTTAAACAGTGGCCGGTGTTTAGTAGTGGGGGGATGCTGTTTTTTTATTTATTTTATGCTCTACTTTTCAAAATAAACCTAAGTTTCTATGAAAAAGGTTTTTTTCAGCCCACATAAACGTAAACCTTGTTTAGTTGGCCCGTGCTAGCCTTTGAGTTTGACATGCTTGCTGTAGATGAATGAGAGATGTGGGAGTTGTAAATTGTCCTGTGCCTTGGCCATCGGTAAGATCGGCATGCGTTCTACCTCGAGCCTCACTCGAAAGTGCTCCCTTTCAGGCGGTAACCCAAAGTCTGCTGCAATAGGTTTCCAAGTCTAATGCCTTATGCGTTTCATAGGGGCCTTGTCTAATGCCTTACGCCAGACTTTGTGACTGTGCAATTACAGATTTCCCAATGCACCTCAATGAGAAGTCTTTGCAAGGCAGGTGCTCTGGGCAATTGCTGCCTCTTGGGTTTAGTTTTACTGTGCTAATCAAACCAGCACTCTAGTGAGCTTAAGTGATTTTGGTGTGTGGAGTGTCATTATAAGAATTGCTTTGGGGAAGAAGCCACGGGGAGGGAAAATATATATGTGTGTATATATTTTTCTGGTCAGAATCATAAAAGCTGTATGTAGATGGTTGTTGTGTGCCAAAACTGATGTAAAGGTAGGCCTGTAAATAAGAGGGCCCACCAAGGTAAAAGAATAGAGAAAACCTAAAATTGGATAGAAATAATTGAATTAAAAGGGGAGAAGTTGGTGGGATTACTTGAGAAAGAGTGGGTTTATATAGGCCAAACCATGAGGGCCTATGTTTGACGTCCAGAAATATAGATGGTATATTTATT